TGATTGTGGATTTGAAAAAAGTTTTTGTTTGAAAGAGGTGTAAGTGCGAAAAGTTTGGTTTTTTGTTTTAAAAGGAGCAAGTACTTAAGAATATCTACCTACTCAAAAAGAAATTAAACTGTGCAAATGTCCTTTAGACAACGCTATCCCACTATTGAGGAGTAGGTAGCATCGTCGTTGGAGTTTTCGGGTCAATTCGATTAAGGGACGTGTGGTCACTAAAGCAATGTTAGGACGCCTTAGCGGTAACCCTAATGTCTTAGATCATTTTATCCGAGGCAACCGTTTCGAGGCAACTTTGATCTTTGGACAAGAGGACGACCTCTAAAACTTCCTATACTCAATGACCACGTTCGAGGCAACCAAGTGAGATGTACCCTAAGAGTGGCATGTGCGAGTGTATTGTTTTTCAGTTATATTATCTTTGTACACGTTATGGTGAGCTACTTGTTGATTTTAAGTTTAAAGTTGATCTTGTCATGCATTGCCTATTATTCAAACATCTAACAGTTAATGGTTGCGGAATGTAAATTGCGGAAAATAAATCTAAGCTATTACAAGGCGTCGGGTATTTACATCGCCAAAGACAAACCCTTAAAAATTAAATTGCGAAAAGTAAATAAAAGCGATAAATAAAATCCTAATTTAAAACTATTACATCCCCGAAGCAGTTACAATATTGAAATATGGATCAAAAATTATTCGCGCGCGAGAAAATTAAATCGGAGTGTTTTTAGGGTTTTGACCCTTTTTTATTAAAGAAAGCATATTTTTGTTATTTTTGAATTGAAAATTGGTCTAAATTAATAATTGAATTAATTAATTACATAAAAAAATATTTTTGGTTTTTTATTTTAATTAAGGAAATAAAATGAGAATGATTAAAAAATGTTAAAAAACCTAATTCTATATTAATTTTAATTTAATGCAAAATATATTAAAATTGAACCTAATTAAAACTAAATTAATTGGTTAAAATTTATTTACAAAAATAATAAAATGGTGAAATTAAAAAATATTATTCTTTGTTGTTTCTGATTTTTTTATGAAAAAAAGTTAATTAGTTAATTAATTAATTATGATAATAATGATAATAAAATAAAAATAGTGAAAAGAAAATAAAATAAAGAAACAAACTCAGGGGGTGTTGGGCTTGAAAAGGGAGTATGAATTGCAATTTTGAGGCCTATATTCAATCAGCCTTGTTGACTTTTTCAGATTCCCCATGGTGCGTTTGACTAGAGTGCAGGATGGTCACTCAATCTTTGCCCTTGGATTTGATTTGCAGGCCACTTGTCACTTGAGATCTGGAGGCATTTGGTGAACCACGCTGGGAGCATTGCACATGAATACCTGAAGAACAAAATCAAATAAATGTTTGGGGGACCTGGGATTCGAACCCAGGTCCCAATGATCACATGCCAACGCGCTTGCCACTCCACCAAACTGCTTCATTTTTTATTGTAATAAGAGACAAATATTATATACAAAACCATCAATTATTCCCTGCAAAAAATAAAAATGCGCTAATAATTCAAATGGGCCAATAGACGCTAGCCACGTGATCGTCTTCTTCATATCACCCTGGTTCATTTACCTGCGGATTTTTATCCGCATGAAGTTTCGTGGTATGTCTCAAAAATACTCCCTAAGCCATGTAAATGCAAGCTAAGGCCATCATCGTATTCGTCTTGCTTTCCTGAACACGAATATAGCCATGAATCGCCTTGATTTTGCCTGTACACAAAACGCCTTAAAACAAGAACAAGAACCCTAGGTTCTGGATACGGGGTTAGGAGCCACGAAAATAAAATCAAACAATGCAGTTTGCTTAGAAATTTAATGGTCAGTATGAATATGCAAGAAATTTGGCAAAAGGATGCAGGAAAACTGAGTTACGATTCCATGTGCAGAGCAATGTTCATGGGGACTTACAGCGAGTTTCAGGCTGTCTTAGGACTTGGTTTTGATTGGTGTAGCTCCACTGGGTGTCAAGGAAGAGAATGGCGTTGAGCTTTTGGTCTGAATTGGCCTCCAAGGTTGTTTTCAATCTCACACTTTTCAAGCTTTTTTCTCAAAGTTGTGTGGCCGTTTCTGCAGAGCTCTATGCATGTTCTAGGTTTGGCTTGCTTATGTGAGTGTTATAGAGTGAATTAGGGTTGGTCTTTTGGTCTCAAATCAAATGCATTGAAGATTCAAGATTGGATTTTGATCACCATAACCAAACTTCCAAAAATAGGCCAAATGTGATTTTTATGCTTGAATGAGCCTTGATACGAATTGACTAGGTTTTATATGATATATGCAAGCTGTACAAATCACAAAGATACCATTTCATTAATTTTTGAATTTTATTTGAATTAATATAGATTTAAAATGAATTAAATCAATAAAAATTAAATAAAATAGAAAAATAAATGTTTGGTCATGAAATTAAATATGGGACACGTGTGTGATGTGATAAGACCAAATCAAGTGGAAAAAAGTGGGCCCTTTTGTCAAAAATTGGAGTTTTGAGGATAGTTGACTTTTGGCAAATTTGGAAAAATGCCCAACTTCAACAATGCATAACTTCTTCAATTTTAAACTTTTGGAGGTGTTCTTAGACTTTTTAGAAACCTTGAGATGTCCTCTAATCAACCCTTTTGGTTTTGATGTTCCATACTCAAGTTATAAGCTTTGGAAAAAAAAGGTGTTTTTGTTGACTTTCAAAAATGACCTATAATGTCCAAATTTTTAATTTTTTGTGAGAGCATTTCTTGATCTTGGGGGTGTGAAGATGGATTGTAGTAAATTGCATCCTCTTAAAAATGAGCTTTGGATGGGTCATTTCTCATAAAGTGTGAGAAAGTTATGCTTGGTCAAAGTTGAGTTGACTTTTCCTACAAAACCCTAATTTAGCAACTTTTGAATCTTGAGGAATCTTGAGCAATCCTTGATGAATCATGATCAACCCTTGATCAAATGATGAATTAACCTTCAAAATGAGAATGTTGACAAAAATCTTGAGGTTTGACTGTATTTAGAACACATTTGACTTTTGCCCTAGCACAGTCGATTTTTAGGTCTCTTGAGCAATTGACTGACCAAACTTCCTCTGCAAGGCTTGAAATTTGACATGGATGAACTTAAGAACATATTAGGACATTGGGGAACACTTGAGGTCATTTGGATGTGAAGACCTTGATGCAACACAAAACCCTAATTTTGACTTGACTGCCTTAGGAGGTGACTTGACTGTCCAATCCTTGAGCCAACTTGAGCAACTTGAAGGTTATTCTTGGCAAATCTTGAGGAATATGGAAGGGCAAATTTTGGGGTACAACATGGTCGAAATAACATAAATCACAAGAAATGCCTATTTCTACACATATTCGAAACAAACATTTTTTGGGGGCAATTTGTTAGCTGGGAATTTCGACGAGGTTAATAAAGGAGCTTTTACATTTTAGATATAAACAAAGAAGGAGAATGGTAGAACTGATACAAAGTTTAGGCTTAGTTATAGGTGAAATAAAAGATTAGAGTGTAATTATATCTATTAGTTCAAATCATCAGTTCGACGGTTCGTAAAAATTAAAATCGAAAACTGAATAAAACTATATCGATTTTATTGTTTCGGTTCAATTTTAAAACTAAATCAGAAACAATCAATTTTATTTCGGTTTGATTGGATTTGAATTATCGATTTAATTGATTTTTTCTTATCCGCTTAGTGAAAAAATATATTTCATGCTTAAATGACATTGAGGGGAACATGCATGTTCATCCGCATGGTGCATCCGAAAGTGATAGTAACTTACATTTTATGAATTTGAAATACATGTGAGTAACGCCTTTTGAATTCTATGCCCACATAATTGCTCGACAACAATTACACGACTCCATATGTAATAGTCTGCCTTTATATATTTATCTTTGACAATAATGTTTCTAATTTTCTATTTATTTACTCGATATATATTTCTGTAGGTGACAGCGGCGTTGCTTTTGCTAAGTGTTATCTGGTCCAACCTAAGGACAAGACAAAGAAGACTATTGTCTCGGGGTTCACTTTTTGGAATCAATAAAAAAGCTTTCAAATAAATAATTTATTATTAAAGAGAAAATTTTAAATATAATTTTTTAAATGTGATTTATATTTTTTTTAATAAAAAAATGATAAGAGTATAATTTCTTCTTATACATATATAATTTTCTTTTATTTTTATTCACTAAAATTTATTTAAATATATTTATTATATTTTTATTAAAGAAAAATATGGTATCTAGGACATAATGACAGGTGTATGCGTCAACTGAATTAACTCATTCTTTATGTAATTTTCTAAAATATAATTATTCTTATAATTTTCTCCAAAACATGTTATTTGTATTTTTTTTTCAAAAATCAATTATTATAAAAAAAAATCCTAATTATTCTCCGTTACTAAATATATTTCAGAGGTATCGTAATCTTTTGAGATATATGTACTAGCCTATTGGTAAAGTAGCTCTCTATTTTCTGTAAGTTTTTTAGTGTATTAATTTTCATTTAATCAAATTAATCATTGATCAAACATTGTATGATTAATCATTTATTTTAAAATTTCATAAATTTTATTAATAAATAAAATTAATATTAAATAGATCTAGTTATGTCAAATTTCATAAATAAAATTAATGTTAAATGGATATAGTTATGTTTTATTTTTTATTTGAGAAAATTATGTGTAATTTTTATTTAATATCTTAAAATTTTTTATTTGTTCATAAAAATTGTTTCCACACTAATAAAAATAATATTTTTAATAAATAATTATAAATTAATTTTTTTAAATAATACTATCTTTTAAATATAATTCTTAAATTATATAAATATAATAATTAGTTATTTTTACTACGTAGTTCAAGAAGTACATAAAATTAATAAATTTAATTTATTTTAAATATTTATTAAATAAAATTAATATATATATATATATATAGTAATTTGAGAAACCCTAACGGAGCAGCGATTTATGGGTGAATGGGAAAACGCAGACGGCCGCCGCAAACAAGCGGTCCAAATGCTACTGGCGAGTGTGAGAGTTTTATCGTCAACTTCATCTCATGGGAAAGGAATCAACGCTTCACTGGATTCAACGACTTCAAAAGAGGATAATCCTCCAGTAGCTTCACTTTCGAATATGAGTACGATATATGAGGAAGAGAAAGAGGAACAAGAAGAACTAAAACCAGCTCAAGCTCAACCATGGATTGATATCATCAAAGGTAATCGTACTTTAACGAATGGTATGAACATCACATACAGACCTCCACCCATTGTTAATGGTGAAATTGAAGTTATCATCGAGGAGCAAGTCATCGTTTCAGAGCTTAAATTATGGGAAAATGCTTTGATCATGTACGTGATAGGTGGAGACTTGACAATGATAGCAATGAAGAAATTCATGACGAAGACCTGGGATTTCGCTGCTCTACCGATATTATATTACAATGAGAGGGTTATTTTATCATTAAGATGAAGTCTAAGGAGGATAAGGAACTTATGTTGAGGAAGGGCCCTTATACGATCTTCAGACAATCTATGTTCCTTTTAGAATGAAGACCCCATTTCTCGCTTGATAAAGATGCGGTACGAGTGATGCCTATTTGGGTCACTTTTCCCCAACTACCACTGAGATACTGGGGTAAAAGTAGCATTGGGAAAGTGACAAGTGTTATTGGAAAACCTGTCATGACAAATGAATGTACCTCAAAGAAATTAAGAATTACATATGCGATAATGCTTATTAAGGTAGACATCACAACTAAATTAAAGGATTCTATCTACATTAGGGATCTATATAGGAGTAGGGTTCTACAAAAGGTTGAATATGAATGGAAATTGAACTTCTGCAAGAAATGTAACATGGTTGGTTACAATTGCAAAAAATAGAAGCCTACTAAACCTCCTCCATTTTAGAAGTGGATTGAGAAACAAACTGCAGCAAAAGAGAATGTCAACAAAGAAAAGGGTGGTAACCTGGAAAAGAAGGCAGATGATAATGATGGAAACTTGGGAACTAAGGCTGAAGAAGATTGGAGAATTGTTGCTCCTAATAGAACAATTGGAAGATCCGGGCCTGCTACAATTGCAAGATTTGCATTATTTTCGTATAGAGACACAACATGAATAAATGATGATGATGATGTGGGATGTAGTAATGGTTTTGGCATCCTTGGGATGGAGGATGACAAAATGGTGGATGCTACATGATCCTCACATGGAATGTGAGAAGCCTCAATAAGAAGGCAAGGCATATTAAGATTATGGGTCATCTAAAAAACTTACAAGTGCCTTATGTTGTTATGTTGGAAACTTAAGTTAAGAACAAAAATGTTATAAAAGTGAGACAACTCTTTGGGCATGATTGGTTGTGGTTAGATAACTATGACAAACATCCAAGTGGGAGAATCTGGGTGATGTGGAAACATAAGGAACTACATATGAATAAGAATAGTTGTGGAGAATAATATATTCAATGTGAGATGATTGAGACAAATGGGCAGAGGATTTGTTGGGTCACATTTGTTTATGCTCATAATCAGCTCGTTGAGAGAAGAAAACTATGGAAGGAGATTCAGAACCTAGCTGGCAATATTCATGATCAATGGATTGTTGTGATACGGTGGGAAGAGAACTGACTGTTTTGGAATGCTGGTTCACGTTTCACGTTTGTTTTTGCAAAATGTCGTGGTAAGCAAGAGTCGCCACCGTCTTTTATTTTATCCAACAAGGAAAGGAAAAAAGCATAGAAAAATTCCTTTTTCGAGATGTTTCTCGGGTTCGGGAGGTAGATTATAGAAAGAGAAGGTGTTAGCACCCTTTCTATCCGTGGTTATCCACAGGCTCTTAGGTACTTGCTCATTGTGTTTTCAAAATTGCTTTTCTTTGTGTTTGTGGGTTTGAAAAGAGTTTTTGTTTGAAAGGTGTAAGTGCGAAAAGTTTTATTTTGTTTTTTAAAAGGAGCAAGTACTTAAGAACCATCTACCTACTCGAAAAAGAAATTAATCTGTGCAAATGTCCTTTAGACAATGCTATCCCACTATGAATGAGTAGGTAGCACCGTCATTGGAGTTTAAGGGTCAATTCGATTAAGGGACGTGCGGTCACTAAAGCAATGTTAGGACGCCTTAGCGGTAACCCTAATGTCTTAGATCATTTTTCCGAGGCAACCATTTCGAGGCAACTATGATCTTTGGACAAGAGGGCGACCTCTAAAACTTCATATACTCAAGTAAGGTGTACCCTAAGAGTGCGCATGTGCGAGTGTGTTGTTTTTTCAGTTATTTATCTTTGTACATGTCATGGGTGAGCTATGTTGATCTTAAATTCATACATTTGATCTTGTCATGCATTCCCTATTATCAAACATCTAACAGTTAATAGTTGCAGAATTTAAATTGCGGGAATTAAATCTAAACTATTACAAGGCGTCGGGTATTTACATCGCCAAAAGCAACCCTTTAATTTAAATTGCGGAAAGTAAAATAAAGCGATAAATAATTAAAGTCCTAATTAAAAGCTATTACATACCGGAAGAAATTACAATAATGAGGCAAAATTGATCGCGTGCGAGAAAACTAAATCGGCGTATTTTTTAGGGTTTTGACCCCTTTTTTATTAAAGAAAAGATTTTTGTTATTTTTGAATTAAAAGAAATTAAATCTAAATTAACAATTAAATTAATTAATTAATGAAAATATTTTTGTATTTTTGAATATTTAAGGAAATAAAAATAAATTTGGTTAAAGTTAATAAAAACCTAATTCTACATTAATTTTAATTATTTGCAAAAGATATTGAAATTATACCTATTTAAAACTAAATTAATTAAGTTAGTATTTATTTACAAAAATAAAGTTGAATTTAATCTTAATAAATAAAATAATATTTTTTTTGTGTTTTTGATTTTATGATGAAAAATTTAATTGGTTAGTAATAATAAAAATAATAATTATCAAAACAATTAAATAAAGAGAAATATAAAGAAGAAAAGAAATAACCCAATGGGGGGTTTGGGCCCAGATTGAAGGTGTGCTTAGCAATTTTCCAAGCGCATTAACATTGGCCTTCGTTGACTTCTGTAATTCCATGTGCGCCTGTTGACTAGAGACCATGATGGATGTTCAATCTTGACCATTGGATTTGACCTGAAGGCCATCTGGCGCCTGATCAGGTGATAATGCATGGTGTGCTACCTCTTGGACGCTGCATGGGATCACCTGTAAATAAAAGGCAACAAATATATAGGGGACCTGGGATTCGAACCCAGGTCCCAATGGCTAATGCACTAGCGCCTTCACCAACTGAGCTATTAAGTTTAGTTGTTAATGAAATAAGTGGACAATATTATATTGGAAAACAATCAATATGCCTGGAATAAAAAAATGAGCGCCAATAATTTGAATCAGCGAATAGGACGTGGCCACATAATCGTCTTCTTCGCTGGCCCCTGTATATTTTCCTGCGGATTCTTATCCGCAGCAAAATCTGTGGCTTCATCCTATAATGAATTCTAGGCCACAAAAATGCAAACCAAAGCCATCATTATGCTCGCCTCTTCCTCATAAGTTCATCCATGGCCATTGGTAGTACTGATTTTACCTGAAACGGAAATGCCTAAAAACAAGAAACCCAAACCCTAGTTTCGGGTAGGGCTTTACAGGCTACAAAAACTCAATTGAATATTGCAGAATGTTTAGAAATTATGCAAGAGTCACGAATATACCAATGTTTTGTCAAAAAGATGCAAGAATAAGAGGTTATGTTTTCGTGTACAGGGTCATGTTCATGGATACTTACAGTGCATTTTAGGTGACGAGAGGGCTTGGTTTTGATTCCTATCGCTTCAGTGGATGGAAAACAAGAAGTCTATGTTGAGCTTTGGCCTTGAAAATGCCTCTAGGATGGATTTCAGATTCCAACTTTTCAAGCTTTTTTCAAGTTTTGGTATTGTGAATTATGCAGCCTCTTGATCGTGTCCTTTGTGCCTTTGCATTGTGTGAGTATAAGGGAAGCAATTAGGTTTAATTTTGGGCCTTGAATCCATGTGAATTGATGATTGAAGATTTGATTTTATTCTCCATTAACAAAGCTTCCAAAAGTGTCAAAAACCAATATTTTGTTCACAACATGGCTTGATTCGAGTTTGATTTGGTCCATGATGATAATTGAAACCTGTATCAATCAAAAAGATCACTAGTTATTGATATTTAGATTTTATTTGGATTTAAATTGATTAAAAATGAATTAAATCAATAAAAATCAAATAAAATGGAAAAATTAATAAATTGGCACAAGACTGAAGATATGACACGTGTGTGGTGTGACAAGATCAAATCAAGTGGAAAAAAGTGGGCCCTTTTGTCAAAAATTGGAGTTTTGGGGATAGTTGACTTTTGGCAATTTTGGAAAAATGCCCAACTTCAACAATGCATAACTTCTTCAATTTTGAACTTTTTGAGGTGTTCTTGGACTTTTTAGAAACCTTGAGATGTCCTATAACAAACCCTTTTGGTCTCATCTCATTTTGGTATTACATGCTCAAGTTATAAGCTTTGGAAAAAAGGTGTTTTTGTTGACTTTCAAAAATGACCTATAATGTTCAAATTTGTAACTTTTTGTGAGTGCATTTCTTGATCTTGGGGTGTGAATATAGATTGTATGAAATTGAATCCTCTTAAAAATGAGCTTTGGATGGATCATTTCTCATAAAGTATGAGAAAGTTATGCTTGGTCAAAGTTGAGTTGACTTTTCCTACAAAACCCTAATTTAGCAACTTTTGAATCTTGATGAATTTTGAGCAATCCTTGATGAGTCATGATCAACCCTTGATCAAATGATGAATTATCCTTCAAAATGAGAATGTTGACAAAAAATCTTGAGGTTTGACTGTATGTAGGTCACAGTTGACTTTTGCCCTAGCACAGTCGATTTCTGGACCTCTTGGACAATTGACTGACCAAACTTCCTCTGCAAGGCTTGAAATTTGACATGGATGAACTTGAGAACATATTAGGACATTGGGGAGCACTTGAGGTCTTTTGGATGTAAGGACCTTGATGCAACACAAAACCCTAATTTTGAATTGACTGCCTTAGGAGATGATTTGATTGTCCAACTCTTGAGCCATCTTGAGCAACTTGGAAGTTATTCTTGAAATGTCTTGGGAAATATGGGAGGGAAAATTTTGGGGTAAAACAATTGTGATAGGTGATTTCAATAGTGTCCTTATAAGTGTTGATCGTATTAGTGGAAACCAAATTCATGGCTCAGAATTCGAAGATTTGAATAATATGATGACTGAAGCCAATCTTTTTGAGCATGAAACTCGAGGTAATCACTTTACATGGTCAAACAAACATGCAACAAGTTTAATTTACTCTCAAATTTATAGAGAGATTTGTAATCATAAGTGGTTTGTGAAGTACCCTGATCGTGAGTTTGATATCATGAGTGCTCATATCTCTTATCATAGTCCACTTAGAGTCAAGATTTATGGCCATATTCGTAGGATCAATAACATTCAGAACAAGTTTAAATTCATTAATAGTGTGGTTGCTCAACCTGATTTTCGAGATGTGGTCAAAGCTAGCTGGAACAAAATAGAACAAGGATAACCTATGTATGTTCTATGGCACAAATTGAAAAGACTACAACCTATTCTGAGGAGTTTAAATTGGAGAATCACTAATAAGATGAAAATGCTACATGAATATAGAGGGAAGCTAGCTCAAACCTAACAAAAGTTAACAAGGGACCCTTTAAATTCTGATCTAATCCAGAAAGCCATAGAATGGACTGACAAAATCATTTATGCTACTGAGGAGGAAGAGAAACTGTTTATGTAGAGATCTAAAGCAAATTGGATAAAATTAGGGGATGCTAACAATGCATACTTTCATGCACTTCTGAAAGGGAGACAAAAGAAAAATTCTATGCACCAGCTAATTGATTAAAATGACAATTGTATCACTAAAAAAAGGAGATGGAAAAATAAGTTATTAGGTTCTATACTGATTTAGTTGGCACATCTATTAGTAACTTGTTTCATATGGATATTGATGTTCTAAGGTAGAGGGCTCAACTGACAGAGGACAGTAAGAGCAGTTTGACTAAGCATATTACT